AAACTTCATAAATTTGACTTCAAGGCGGCTTCAAGACACGAAAATTGGGCGGATTCAAATTTCGGAACAGACTTTATTTTCAACACCCCAAGGAACATTTTAAACTCGATTTGATCCCGACTTTTTTAAATGGGCTTCAAGACTTTTCTGAACTTAAGCCGCCGATRTAAATTAGGCTTCAAGSCCATARGAAAAAATCRGAATTGATTGAATTGACAATTTCTGATGCTCCAAGCGAAATGCGTAAATTTCTTAAACATGTCTTTAACTGCAGAAAAACTTCAWAAATTTGASTTSAAGGCGGCTTCAAGACACGAAAATTGGGCGGATTCAAATTTTGAAACCGACTTTATTTTCAACACCYCAAGGAACGTTTYAAACCCGATTTGATCCCGACTTTTTTAAAGGGGCTKCAAGACTTTTCTGAACTTAAGCCRCCGATGTAAATTAGGCTTCAAGGCCATAAGAAAARATCGGAATTGATTGAATTGRCAATTTCTGRTGCTYCAAGCGAAATGCGTAAATTTTTCCATGGGGCTTCAATGGTTTAAAAGTGACTTCAAGGCACATTTGAAGATTTAGGCCTCTTCTACAACACTKAAAATCTTCGGCTTCAAAGCTTAAAGTCCACTTGGAATATTGATGACTTTGGCCAATGGAGTTTGTAATGAAAGTTTTGGGGCTTCAAGACTGGAWAATTTGCAGGAAAAAATTGAAMCGATTGGGTTTGGGGTCTAAGAAGCAGGTTTTTGAAGAAGGGTGCAAAGACGGTTTCAAGAGAATTATTTTTTTATAAAAATGACTTCAASGCACCGCGATAAAATCAGGGCTGCAAGMCATTCAAGAGTTTTAAAGCGACCKGAAAGTTTTTTGAATTTGCAGTTTYACGGAAGTTTYGTGGTTCTAAAAGACGATTTGAAGCGAGCAACTGGAAGTGAAAAGTTCATGAAGTTCCCTCCAGGGAGCCAMGCGACTGCGCCATTCAGCAATGCGAARCCCCAAATCAAAATCTGCCCGTTTGCCATAAAAAAAACAAGTTTAGGATTATGATAATTGCAAAAAAGCGCAACGTAGCAGATCAGCCCCGGATAGAAAACCCGCTTTATGTGTAATTCCCGATTTCGGCTGACTGAGGCGATATCGATAATTCACTAGGTGAAACGAGGCCGATAATTAACGATAAAACAGCCAAGAAACCGTCTCGAGTTCCGATATTAACCACATTGGATGGTAATCGCTTTTTCGTGTGCCTGCAGGGCGCGACGCGCCGATAATTAAGCGGTTTAATTTGCCTTTGAGGGGCTTTTGGTCGGTTGGGGGGCGAAAAGTAGTGGACGAAAGTGGCATGAGTTCGGGCGACTGAAAATTGCAATTCTCGGCAAGTGTGCGGATAAATTAATAATTTTTCCCAATTTCTGCGCTATTTGGGACAATGTCTTTATCTGGAGCGGCGCCTTCAGCTTCCATCCACATTGGATACGTGACCAGGTTGCTTTGCTAACCACTTTCCATTAAAAGATTGGCTAAAGCTTGGTCGTTTAAGCGCGATTCGTGTGCACATCGCCTTGGCATTTTGCCGGAAATTCCCCCGAATTGTTTGCTTTGCCTCCAAACTTCTGCAGTTCCATGCAGGTTTAACATCGTGGTTTTTCTGTTGCAGAGGCCGACTACACCTTGGACGAGTCCTTCTGGATCGACGAGAGTCCTGCAGGTGAGTGTTTGGAGAAATTCGGAATCAAACAGCGCTGAAACCCACCTGCGCTCATTGAAATAATCCGGAAAATTGATGTCCGGCGCGTGACTGTGCCCCAAACGTGTCGGCGCCAGCGATTGCTCTGGATTTTTCATGTTAAGAGCCCCACTGGCAAGGCGATAAAACAGTGACAAATTGCCAATGAATCTCCGATTCTGATGGGGGAATTTGTTGCCCAACTAGAACGAAAATATTGCCTCACACTCTCGCTTTCTTGGCCTAAAATAGCGCCAGTCCACACCCTAGATAAATTTGCCAATAAATCCGTTTTGGACAAATTGCTTCAAGACTTTGCATGCGCTTCAAGACTCAAAGTCGTGAATTACCAGTGGATTAGTGGCGTCAAGGCTTTGCGTCTTTTTCCTAGACAAATACTGTTTGACTGAGATAAGTGGCTTCAAGACTTTGGAGGCGCTGCAAGGCCCCAGTCACTCCCAGTTGTTGCCTTTTTCCCCCCCACCGAAAACAGCTGAATTTTTTTGACGAATCGGTCGTATTAGGGAACTTAGAAAACCGGCTTCAAGACCTCAAATGTACCTTCAAGCCTTGCTGCGACTAGTAGATAAATTGCTTCAAGACTTTCGCGCCCAAAAATTGAGCTGAGCCTCTACTGTCGTCAGTGATTCATATAAAGGCCTCACAGCACCAAATTGTGGAACCAAATTGCGGTTTTGCCCATCAAAGATAAACGGCTTCAAGGCTTCAGGGTGCTGCAAGGCTCAACTGATCTTTTTCAGTGCTCAAAATGTGCCCCTAACTCAATTGAAGCAGGCCAGACTAAAGCAACAAAAGCTTCCTTAACTGAACACTCGTTTTGACTATACGAGATAAATTGCTTCAAGACTTTGGGTGCGCTTCAAGGCCCCAGTAACTCCCAGCTGTTGCCCTTTTTCCCTGACTTGAAACTAATAAATTCTTTTGACGATTTGGTCGTATTAAGGAACTTAGATAACCGGCTTCAACACCTCAAATGTGCCTTTAAGATTTGATGCGACTAGTAGATAAATTGCTTCAAGACTTTCCCGCCCGAAAATTGAGCTGAGCCTTTACTGTCATGCCAGTGGTTCATTTCAAGGCCTCACAGCACCAAATTGTGGAACCAAATTGCGGTTTTGCCCATCTACGATAAACGGCTTCAAGGCTTCGGGGCGCTGCAAGGCTCAACTGATCTTTTTCAGTGCTCAAAATGTGCCCCTAACTCAATTGAAGCAGGCCAGACTAAAACAACAAAAGTCTCCTTTACTAAACACCCGTTTTGACTAAACTAGATAAATGGCTTCAAGACTTTGGGTGCGCTTCAAGGCCCCAGTCATCCCAGTTGTTGCCCTTTTTTCCCTGACCTGAAATCGATAAATTCTTTTGACGATTTGGTCGTATTAAGGAACTTAGATAACCGGCTTCAAGATCTTAAATGCACCTTCAAGCTTTGCCGCGACTAGTAGATAAATAGCTTCAAGACTTTCGCGCCCGAAAATTGAGCTGAGCCTTCATTTCAAAGCGTCACAGCACCAAATTGTGGAACCAAAATGCGGTTTTGCCCAACTACGATAAACGGCTTCAAGGCTTCGGGGCGCTGCAAGACGCAGCTGATCTTTTACAGTGCTGAAAATGCGCCCCTAACTCAATTGAAGCAGGCCAGACTAAAGCAACAAAAGCTTCCTTAACTGAACACCCGTTTTGA